TAAAGTTGACCAGATATGTACTAATTGAGATTTAGTTACGGAAGAAGCACTACGTTAGTGGCATAGCCTGTAGTGTGTTGAATGAAGGTAGTACCCCACCCGCACCAATTTAAAAATGGCGTTACAAACAAAAACATTAAAAATAAAATAAAAGAAATGATGGTGATTCTATCCCAAATCTCGATCAAAGTCAAAACTTAGTAGACATGTGTATACTGATGTATAACGCATAAGACATTAACATATATATATGTTTCTATTGTTTCAAGAGATTTTGTTTTGGTTTGAGTCTAAGTGCTATCATTCATTAACCGTGTTTTTTTTACCAATTTGGCCAAAATCGAAGTGTGCTAAATGTTTCAAAAAGCGGCCGATTTTTAGAACAGTACTGCAAAAAACCATTTTTCCAATGAAAAACAAAGAATAAAAAAAAGAAAGGGATAGTGTCAGTGAAAAGAACGTACCGAGGTAAGACTTGATAGTTGTTCAACGGAGGGGACACCGTCTTGGCCACAAACTCGCCGGACCTCATGGCGGACCTTGTCCTGCCACGTGGGATTATGGGCAAGGAGCATGAGGGTCCACGTGAGGAGAAGAGAGGTTGTCTCATGGCCGGTGAAGAAGAAAGTCTTACACTCATCCATTATCATCTGAACATTAAGGTTGTTGTTGTTGTTGCGATCCATCTGGTTCAAGAGAAGCCCTAAGAGGTCGTCCCCGTGGGAGCTACTACGACCATTCTCTATGCTGTCTCTTCGGCTCTCTATAATCTCCATCAAAAGACGTTCTACTTCCGTTTTGAGAGACTTTATCTCTCTATTGTATTTGCTCGGTAGAAACCTTTGAGACACAAAGATTAATCACACGTTAAGTCAACGTGAAAAAGAGAGGTCTCAATTAGATGCATGCAACGTTTTTATGTTCTCATGCTTTGTTTTTTGTTATCCCAATACAAAATATTATTCTTTTTAAATTTTAAAATATGTTAGTAGCGGATATTATCAATAAACTAGATTTTTCATTAATTTAATTAGCA